GTTTGTGCTTCTCCCTCTGACCCTCTCCCTTCTTGCCTGGAGCCGGAAACAAGCCAAGTGAACAGGGGAATGGTTGAATGGGGAAGACAGAGGCGGATGTCTTTAACCCCAGGGGTCTTTTAATCAACTGGCAAAGGAGCTTCTGAGAGTCGAGTGGTATGGAGTCCTGGGACCTCCTCATTTGTCTCTGTCTTTCCCATTCCCAATTCCTCTCAAGCCAAACTAAAAAGAAAAATGAACCTCAACTTCTAAGTCTTGTAAAGTAAAAAAACTTTTCCTGTAAATAAAAACGTCAACCAACATTATTTCCATCGAAAACTTCAAGTCCATTTTTCTATGGACAGAGCTGACATTATCAGTCAGAACCACAAACTCAAAATCAAGAAAACAAGAGAGTCAAAAATTAGCTCTAAAATACGTGTTGCCTTCATTTTACTTTGTGACCAGTTTGATTTAGCAGGAAAACTTGGATCAACTGGCTTCTTATACCGACACTGCCTTTCTCTTGGATCATCTTGGAAGGAGGGAGTTCTGTTTACTTATTTGCAAACATACACCATCACTTGCTAAGTACAAGTCTCAGTAGAGGATCCTTTGATGTTGAAAAGCCATTGTGACCACGAGGTCAGACACTGCATCACTGTCTTTCGTAGCTGATGTGCCTGACAATAGCTGTTTCTAGGCATACACACAAAAGCTACATTAACGTTTGTGACGGAGGCTGCCCTATTTTCAATGCCTAGAACTATGTCCAACACAAAAATGTTTTTCTAAATAATAAAAATACCTCTGGAATTATTCCCTAGAGATATAGGATAAATTAAGGCAGGAATCAATCCCTTAATTCTGATTGCTACATACCATAAAGAAACTGGGAGCACTGGGTGTAGCCTTCCTCCATCTCCTCACACTTATCCGCAGCTGTCTGCATGTCACTGTAGGTCATGGCGAACACAGCGGCTCCCGACTCCACCAGGAACTTACACACCTGGACGTTGTTACAGGAGGCCGCACAATGCAGCGGGGTCCTGTGGAGGAAGACACAGCAAGGGCTGAAACGTTTTTCCAAATTGAATGACACCTGCTGTGATATCTGTAAAGAAAGTTCTTGAGCCTATCATCTACCAAGCCCTTTCTTCTGAAAACCTCTTACACAGTTTTGGCGGTTTTTCCCCAATTATTTTATTGAGGTCGTACTGGTTTATAACATTGTGTGATTTCAGGTGTACATTATTATGTATCAGTTTCTGTGTAGACTGCATCGTGCTCACTGCCAATAGTCTAGTTTCGATCCATCACCATACACATGTGCCTCTTTACCCCCTTCCCCTCTGGTAACCACCAATCTGTTCTCTTCATCCACGTTACACAGTTTTTTTAAAATCAGTTAAACAGAGATACTTGAGCCCATTAGAGAATTATAGCCACAGAGGAAAACGCCAGAGTACTGGGCTAGTCGGGGCAAGGGTGGCAGGGAGGGTGAGAGGAACCAAGGAAATGACAGAAAGGACATGAAATTTGTATAAATAACTAAAACAGGATAAAATGTGTTTAGCTGTATGTTCTGGAGCACCCAGCCTCATTATTTCTGCCTGAGTAGAGGACATAACAGTCTCTAAATTATAG